GATTATGAATGGTGCGAAGTAAGTTTCACTCGTAATTAACAATGTATTACCATTGATATTCTGAAAATTGAAGGAATTTTAGCATATTTTTGACGACTTTAATTACCAGTGGGAGAAGAACTTGAGTTTAGTTTATGATTTATTTTTATTATAAATATATATGTATATATATATTTTTTTTCAAGAAAGTGTCAATTCAAAACCTCAAGGGAATAAAACCTACTTCAGCTCTTGTACTATTTTTCCTCTTGAACGGCGGGAAACTGATGATTTTGGGGGAACCTCCCTCCAAAGGATCCAGTTTTCTCCCATTTGGAATTATAAACCCTAAAAGTTCTATTTTACGGATTCTCCTTGAAATCTCTCATTCGTACACAGACCAGGGTAATTTAGAATCAATCCAATGGCGTTTCTGAGAAAGCAACACCACGAACCGCCAGAAGAAGACGTCGACGTCGATAATCACGCAGATACTCCGATACGGTACGTGTCTCTGGACCGCGTCTACTCATCTGCTTCTCTCTGTGGCGGTGCCACTGGATCCTCTAGCGTCATGTCGAAGAAAGTCAAAGCCCGCAAGCTCATCGACAGTCACCTGGACGCCTCTGATGATCCTAAGCCACCGCACACGACTCCAGACAACAAACCGGAAATCGTACGCGTTTACTATCGACGGAAGAAACGACCGCGGTTGTCATTCTTCGATGCGGCGCTTGCGCGCTGTTCGTCCTCCACCGTGGAGGAGGTGGATGTCGAGACCGAAATTCTTGAACTGGAAGACTGTAATGAGACTGCGGAGGCGGAGGAAGGAGCGAACAGTGATTTGAAGAGGAAGAAGGGGAAGAGGCAAAGAGTTGGGAGCAGTGAGTTGGTGAAATTGGGAGTTGATTCCAGCGCTTTGCGTGGTCTGGATGGGCCGCGATTGAGGGATTATCGAAATAATCATAGGAATGTTTTGACGCCGGAGAGAAATAGTGGCCATTCATTGCTGACCGGCGATAAGTGTCTTTCGGCTTCTTCTGATTCTAGGAAGTGGGTCCGGTGAGTGGAGTATTTTTCTCCGCTCTTTTAGTTTCTAAAATTCACTTCTAATTATGATATAATGTGGGTGAACCCAAACCTAGAGCTTTGGTTCTTCCTTGCATAACGTTTGATTCACCAAATGCAATTCTTAAAGTGTGTTTTTTTTTTTTTGGCTAGGAAACAAAAAAACAATTAGCTATTATCGCCTTACTTTAATGTGCAGACTGCAGTATAGTAGTTTTTTTTTTTTTTTTGGTGTTTTCATCACCAAATTTGTAGTCGACAGTCTGTGGCTCAATTTGCAAAATGTGTGCCTGAGCAGGTTGAGTTTTGATGGTGTTGATCCAGCAACGTTCATTGGCCTACAATGCAAGGCAAGCATTCACTTGATCAGAAGCGTTCTTTGCTTGCATATTTATTTCGTGAAACTAAACATAATTTAGTACAGGTTTTTTGGCCGTTGGATGCTGATTGGTATGCTGGACGTGTTCTTGGGTACAATTCAGAGACCAATCGACATCATGTGTGGATCTCCCATCTTTCTCATTTCATTTTTTTGTTATCTTCTCCTAACCTCATGATTTGGATAGTTTGAAGATTCTGTAGGAAAAAATTGTTTGAACTTGGCATTTCTACAGCCTTTTGCTTACATGAGTGACACAAATGCAGATTGAATATGTGGATGGAGATAAAGAAGATTTGATTATTCCAAATGAAAAAGTTAAATTTCACCTTTCTCGGGCAGAAATGGAGCGGTTGAACCTGAAATTTAGTGTTAACAGTGCAGACACTGATGGCAATGATTATAACGAAATGGTTGTCTTGGCTGCTAGTTTAGATGACTGCCAAGAATTTGAAGCTGGAGACATTATATGGGCAAAACTAACTGGTATGCAACATCCACTGGGCACATGTATTCTTATGTCTATTATTTTTTCTTATGTCCATTCACATGGCTTGCCTGGCACTTCATTTGGTTAGTCAAACATGTAGTTCTGCTTCAATGTAATAAAAAACTGCCATGTCAGTTAGGAGTTCTGTTAGCAGGCTTGTTTCATGATCATTCTGGTTAAAGTATTCTCTCATGGTTGATGAGAATCATTGTCTGTGGTCATATGTAGGCAAAAAATTCTCTCTTTTTATTGGAGGGAAAAAAGGAGGCGGCAAGGGAGGGCTGCCACGTACATGAAAAGAGAAAACAAATATTATACAATAAAATTGGATAAAATATCAATTGTTTCCCCAAGATCTTCTCTTTTTAAGGATTGAATGACCTTTAAACGAACTATATAAGGCATGAAAAAGTTTAGTCAAGGGAAGGATAATAGATGGGATAAGAAAACATCTGTCAACCCAAAATTTGGGCAAGGTTCTCCACTTGTATCCCTCCACTGCTGGGAATCAATTTAGATTTGGCCACCCTAAACTGCGTAGAAACACAATAAGAGGGACTTGATATGGAAAGAAGACTTGCTTGACTTAAAAGATAGGAGAGATGGGAAAAATTTGCTCATTATTTCTCTCCCCTAGAAAGACCCTAAAAAAATTGTCCTTCGAGCTCCTATAATCATCCTATTAAAACTTCTATAACAAGAATAAACCAGAAAGGGCAGAGAGTGTCTCCTTAAACAAGGTTGTTTCTTGCTTTTAAAAGCTTGAAGCACCTCCATTAATTAGACAAGACGAGAAGTTGTGGAGTACACCATTCAATCCATTTGCACTAACTTCACCATAGCCCACACTTTTGAAGAAATAGACAAAGACATTCTAGGCAACATGGTAATAGGCCTTCTCAAGATCAAATTTACATTGGAAGCTTGCCTCTTCCCTACTCTTTATTGCACCAACTATTCATTTTCTATAGTTGAAAGGAAATTCTTAGACTCATATGATTGATCTTGAAGTGCATCTGACTTTTATGTCACTTGTATATTGCAAGCTTTGACATGTCTTGGCAAGCTGGGATAGGTCTTATTGTCTTTTGCTGACCCTTGTTCTTGAATTGTTAGTTGCATTTGCGTATGGTAGGTTTTTTCTTTTTTGTTGCAAAAGCATATACCTGTCCAATTGCAAAAGATTTGTTTTATGCTGAAGTGGTTAGTGATTATGCTACATTATGGAACACTAATTTTGAGTTCAGAAAAAATGGAAATGGTTCGCATAGCGTATGAATGCATAATGTTTGTGATGAACAAATGGTGCACAAAAAGAATGGTGTCTTCTTATTGCCAACGTTTCACCTTGTTATGCCAGTAATTTTACTTATTGCTGCTTGTCTTCTAGTAGAAACATGTTTTTTGACAGTGTGAAGGCTTGAAGAGCTGATATTATTGTTATATCTCCTTGAAAAGATTTCTTCCGATAGTACAACTTATTCTTTCTGTTGTTCTAGTGCAGGTCATGCTATGTGGCCTGCGATTATAGTTGATGAATCTCTTGTTGGTGACCGTAAAGGTTTACACAAAGTACCAGGAGGGAAATCAATTCCTGTGCAATTTTTTGGCACCCATGATTTTGCCAGGTTTGCAAGATCTGAAGATTGATGTCTCCTATTCATTAACAACTATCAGGAATCAGTAAATTCTATCTTGACATTACTATTTTGTGACTGTTTAGAATAAAAGTGAAACAAGTTATCTCATTTCTCAAAGGACTTCTTTCTTCCTACCACCTGAAGTGCAAGCAACCTCGTTTCGCTCGAAGCTTGGAGGAAGCAAAAATGTAAACTCAGTAGTTTTTTTCTGCCCCATTGATACTTTCCTTAATTTAACTTTTATGCAGAGATTTGTTTTACTTAAATGTATCATGAACATAACTGAAGGAACCAGCCATTTGAGATGCTCCTATTCATTTGTGGCATAACTTGATTATTTGGTTTTAAGCAGGTATCTTAGTGAACAGAAGCTTCCAGCTAGAATGCTTCGCCTGCGGAATGGCAATACTGCTGATAATTGTGCAAGTACAAGTAGTGAGGATGAAGCAAGTTCAGATTCAGGTGAAGACTGCATAGTAGATGGAGCTTTTCAGAGGACAGCTGGAGGTCTTGGGACCTCTCCATATGTAATGGGGGATTTACGAATATTAAACCTTGGTAAGTTTCTGAGGAGTGTTAAATTGCTTCTACCTCATGATTTATGGTATTTTAAATGTGTTTTCCTATTTTAACTGGGACTTAAAAGCAGTAATGATTATTTATAGGAATTTACTCTCTTTTGCAGGGAAGGTTGTTAAGGATTCAGAGTTTTTCCAGAATGATAAGTTTATCTGGCCTGAAGGATATACAGCCATGAGGAAGTTTACTTCACTAAAAGGTCCAAATTCATGGATCCATCTTCTTTTTTCTCCACCTATTTTCACCCTTGTCATAATTTCATTTTCTGCTTTCCTTGATTTTCATGATATTATTTGCATTCAGAGACATGAATAATTATTGGTTCCAATTTTTGGAGGTTGCAGATCCAAATGATTGTGCCTTATATAAGATGGAAGTATTAAGGGATGCTGATTTAAAGATTCGACCTCTTTTTAAAGTGACAGCAGATAATGGAGAACAGGTTAGTCATGTATCTGATGATGTCTGTGCTTTTTATGACCTAATTGTTCTTTCTCTCTGTACCCGAAGAGCTTCGCTCTAGTGGCAGGATACCTTTTCTGGGTTCTTGTATGGCTCACGTTCAAGCACTACAAAGTCCTTTAACGACTAACTAAAAAAATTGTCCTCTTTCTCTATGCTTGTGTGCATGTATAGTGTTTCTAGTAATACACTCCCATAACCTATGCATTTGTGGGACATCTTGTTATCAAGAGATGGATCGACTGCTAATTTCCTAGTGGCATATTTCTCACAGTTCAAAGGATCATCGCCATCTGCATGCTGGAATAAAGTATATAGAAAGTTAAGGAAAATGAAAAATATTGATGGTTCTGGTTCTGGAGAAAAGATCTATATATCTGGTTTGGACATGTTTGGTTTCTCCAATCCTGAAGTTGCCAAATTAATAGAGGTAAATATAACAAATTTAATATTTTTTTTTGCCTGCCTTAAGCAGTAATCCTTATTTGACTTACACAGGTCCCACCAATTTTTTCTCTATCTTGAAAAATGTTAACACTTTCCAAGCACGTGTTGATACATAATAATGCAAATTTTTGCTTTCCATTTGAATTGTGGTTGTCAGCCTATGATGAGTTCTACTGAACTGACAGGGGCTATCAAAATCAAGATTTCATTCAAAATTTTCAGTGTCCAAATATCGTCCTGGAAGGTATGAAGATCTGCATGTTGGTTATAGACCAGTTCGTGTCAACTGGAGGGACCTTGATAAGTGCAATGTTTGTCACATGGATGAGGTAATTCCACTTTTTCTATCTTGCATCTTTAACACTAAAAAGGTGTTTTGGTTTGTTGAAAAAATCATGCTTAAACCACCACTTTACGTAAAACATTTAGATGTTGATTTAAAAATAACCAATTACATAAATTGATAAAGATGTATACCGTAAAAAGGTAAGTCTTATGGTACTTTTTAAAAATAAATATATTAGGGTAACTAGATAACTAAACATGTCAAAGAAATAAGCATTTTCTAGTACGGAAAAAGTTAAGTGGGAAGTGCTTACTTCTTTTCCTATTTTAAGTTGTTTATTGCTACTTGCTAAGCACCCTATTTATTAAATTAGTAAGGGTTGGTTTAGCCTATGCTCATAGCGTGAGTTTTAAGATCGACATAAAAATTACTCTAGGTAAAAGTAGCTTTACTGTGAAAGCAATATAATATTAGGTGAAATTTGTTGTAAAAAGTGATGTTAATATAAAATATAATATACTTTTTGATTAATTATGTTATGAAATGAGTAATAAGTGTTGAAATGATAAAAAATAATGTAAAAAATTAATTATTACAATCTTTAAGTAATATTAGTCTTTTTCTTAAGAATCTTTGAACAATTTAAAATATTTTAGAAATATTTATTTTAATTTAATTGTTATATCGATTTTATTCAGTAAAATTATTAATTTAAAACCATTAGTCATTAATATTTAAACAGAATTTATTTGAATAATTTCTAGTAGCTATAGAATAATTTATAATGAATTATTATTATATTTTTATCTTATTATTTCAAAAAAAATTATTATGTTTTTATTTTAAAATAGTAAATTAATAAATTAGTGAAATGTAAAGGTAATAAATATGATGTTAAGAATACAACACAAAGTATCTAAATAGGAACTAAGCATAGAAATTTTAAGAAGTGCTTAAGCTTAAAAGCACCTAATAGTTTGGCTGAAACCCTTTGATTAATATCTTCTGTGTACAGGAAATGTTCATCTCCTTTGAGAGTTTCCATGTCTTTGGAAATCTTGATTTTGCAAGAATTCTTATTCTCTCGTGACCCATCTCAAGTTTCGCAAGTTTTAATTACTAGGAAAGCAAGTTCTAATGTTGATATTTTTTCTATTTCTGTGTTTTAGAACTCGAGGTTGTGTTTTTATCAAGTGAGATAGAAGGTTACAGATTTAAGAAGATCCTAAAGTGGATATGTTTTGATACTAAGATATATTTATATAATTATGTTACTTATGTGTTATTGAGGTACTTGTTTAGCTTATTTAGAAACTAGTATCTGTAGGTTTCTTAATGTACACGTTTGCTATTTGCTATTTAGTTAGGATCTTTATCTAATTATCTCCATTTTAGGCTACTCTAATTAATTATTTTATCTTCCAACTTATTAGAATTCCTAGATAAATTTAAGATTCCTATTTTGATTGTAATGTGGTGCTTATAAATAGATTACCCTAGTGCTGTTATATGGTTGGGTATTCATATGCTTGTTATAATACAAATATTTGAGCTAGTGATTTGATTATGAGAACTCAAATCTCCGATTCTTGCTTCTTGAATACATTTTCTCTAAACATTGTGCTTAAGTTCTTTTTATCTTACATCATAAATGCTTTGGTTGAGTTTGTTCGTTTTTGCTCATATTTCAAGAAAAAAAGCCCTTTGACTAATGGTTTGGCCGTGTGGGCAATATTCATCTCGTAGAGTTTCTATATCTTCTTTAGTTGCAAAAAATGAAAAAGAAAGAGGAGGAAGAGAGTTCATTTTCTTCGGTCTTTTCATGTTATGATTTTTTATTTGGACATGAAAATGATTGATGTTGAATTATTACATTACTGATCATATATATTCGAACTCAGTGCTTAACAGTGGTGCTTAAAAGCGCCTAATAACCAAAGCCGAATGCTTTGGTCCCATTTTTCTCATGTTTTGCTCATATTTTAAAACTCTTTGACT